AAATAGGGATAGTGGATCAAGCTCAGCCAGTCTGTAAAAGAGCTGCAACTGCAGCCTTTTGTAAGACAAGAGCAGCATCTCATTTTTAAATGCTCAGATCTTTGGCTGTTCCTGCACACTGCTCTGTCTGAACAATAAGGTGTTAGTGGCATGAATGCAGGAATCAAAGTAACATCTTGATTATTCATAGATATCTTTTACCATTTGTTTCCCTCCCTCTCTGCTCATTTTCCTCATGCAGGAAAGTGTTTGAGCTGCCTAAGAGAAGGTTTGGAGTTCCTCTGGACCGGATTGGAGTGAGCCACCTTGACAACACCAGGGGTTAGCAGTTCCTGCAGGTAAGCCAAAGCATCCCAGGTGTGGGCAGGCTTGGAGAACCCAGGTGTTCTCTGTTGCTGGAGGTACTCAGTCATGTCAGCAGGCTTGGGAGGAGTGGCTTATGGAATTTTGGCTTCTTATGACATAGAACACCGTAATTTCCCACTGAGTACCTCTCTACAAGCAAACAAGTAGTCCTAATTTTAATCTCCTCCACTCTACCTTACAGTGTGTTTGCCCTAGCCTTGCATTTCTGATATTGGAAAATGTAATGTTTACTGCCTTTTTATTTTTTTTTTTTTTTTTTTTTTTTTTTTTTTTTTTTTTTTTTTTTTTTGCCTACAGATGCTTCTATTCTGAATGAATGATGCTGTATTGAAACTTTACAGAGCTTTGGAAGATGCTTCACAGCATATCTTGTCTTTGCCTAATGATACAGCACTCAAGGAACTGACCTCCTGCAAAATCTGTTTCAAGTTGCATTTTACAAATGTTGCATTTACAAATAATAACATGTTCAGTTCATCAGGTCAGAATGCTCTCACAGCTGTGCACAGCGTCACTGGTAGGAGGGAACAGAGACTATGTATATATTTTTATGGCATGGCATGTATCTGTTAAACTTGCAGAATTTTTTTATCCTAGGCAGGACTGAGATTTTTTGGATTGAAAATAAAACTTCCAGAGATGCCAACAGCAGTCCATGGAAAGCAGAGAATTTGCTTTGCACAGTTCTTTCTGGAGGGAATGTGATCAGTAGATGAAGGGAGGATATAACAGTTATGGGACAAAGCTAGAATGCATCTGAACTGCTGTTTGGGAGGAGCTGTTTTCTGCCTTCACTAGGAGTTAGTCTGAATAACAGCAGTGACCTTAGTATTTGTCCTGATGTTTTGAGTAGTCTTATCTCTGCACCATATTTAGGCATGTTTTCATTGTATGGCAGATCCTGAAATGAGGTGAGACTTTTAGTTGATGAATACATTTCACTCCTCCCTATGCATAACATAGGATAGTGTCCAAATATGAAGTCACCCACTTCCAAGGCCATCTGCATCATATGCCTTATTTTAGCCTCTTGATGTGTGCACAGGGCATGGTCAGAATCCAGATCTAAAAGTTCAAGTATTTCTCACTCTGGTAAAATGTAAACATGTCCTCTCCATTTCAGAGTAAAACAGGTTATCTTAAATCCTCTTTCATCCTTTTCACTTCTTTCCAGATTATAAAATGCAGCTGAGAAGAGCTCTCTGCTGACATATCAATGCTCAGATTCCTAGCTGATGTTTTCTAACCCTCACATTCTCTCCCCTTAGACTTCAGTCCATATTAGCTAAATTCTTCAGATTGCTATTCTGGGGTATAAATCATCCTTAGCATTGCAAAAGAAGATCCATTGAGAAAGGGATTATGCAGGATTAAGGAATAAAAAAGTTATTCTTGTCAAACACCCTGTGTTAGACAGGAAGCAATGCTGGGGATGGGAATTCAGTGTTAATTTCCTGATCTTGTATGAGACACAAAGCACCTGGCCATCAGCTAGCCAAAAAAAGAAAAAAAAAAAGCATTTGGGAAATCAATGAGACTTAAAAGCTGTTGTGAGGGTTGGGACTTTGGGACAATTGTCCTGGTTTAGCCATGGTGAGAAATGGGGCTCCCACTCACATCTAATCCATGTGTTCAGACATAACAGGGGCCTTTTCCATTTTTCTCCTTGGCTACAGCCCTGTCCAGAGACCAAGATTGGCCCAGGCATAGAAAATCTGCAAGTAACTTCACTTCTATTGATATTTCTAATGTAGGCTGATGCTGCTGAGAGCAGCAGCACAAACCAGTGACTCGCATCAAGAGGTGTCCCTATCTTTGCCATCTGCCAGAGCACTGTAGTTGAGTTAGAACATCATTCCCCCTTCAGGAGTGAGCTGTCTGTGCTTGTGTGTGAGGTGAAGCTCTGCAGATGCTTTCCAGACCAAGCTCTCAAAAGTCAGAGAAAAAAAGAAGGCCTGTAAGTCCATAGATGATGATCTTGGGTTTTTGCTTCCTGCTGTTCTCCTGGTCACACTGCTAATTTTCTGCCTTTAAGTTTCCAGGTGAAGGGTCTGGGAGCTGGGCTCGGTGGGTGCATGTATACTGACTGACTCAGGAGTTTCAGTCCATGCCAGAAGCAAGCGTGGAAATGCAGTCCCAGGCAGTCCTCTGCAGTGCATTGCCACCATCCATCCTGAGCCTGCCTTGAAGTTTAGGGAACTTTATCTTCTTGCACTGAGTTCATCCAGACAGGCTGCAGATAATCTGCTTGCAGGGCAGCCGTATGTATGGGACATGGGCAAATTATGGAAGTGGTGACCTGACCACTCAAACACTTCCAGTCAAAAGAAGCATGGACAGAATCAGTGCCTGACATATTTCTGGAGACTGAGACCAGAGGAATCTAGTGCAAACACAGCAGCTTTGCAATGACACTGCTGGATCATAGAAGTATTTAATAATTGGCAGGTGTTAGCTGGGGCTTCCAAAATGCTAAAAATTGTGTGCAAAAGTGGCCTTCATCTGAAAGGAAATGTGAAAGCAAAGCAGGACAGAGGGGTCTCTGGTGGTGTTGGTAGAACTGGGAGCTGGAAGCTTCAGTCCTGCTCCCCCCTCACTGTGTGGATTACCTGGGAGAAAACAACAGTCTTTCTGTTCTTTTGCCTTGTCCATCACTGAGAGCACTGAGACTTCCCGTGACTCAGGAAGCACTCTTGAAAATCTGTATATTGGCAAGTGCTGTTTCAAATACAATGATGACTGAAAGGCCAAACACCACAATTTGGTTTTGTAGACAATATTGGATGGCTCCAGCCATAGTGCACAGCATGGAGATGAGCAAATGTGAAATGAGGATAAACTGCAGCATCCGTTGCACACTAGACTTGTCTTGTGCTGCCTGGATTTGCAAATCCATTCAGATGTCTGTGAGGATTTTCTCCTAATAAATCCACATGATCTACTACAATGTCTCAGGGAAATCCCTTTAATTATTGCCTGTGGGTCATTAACTTTAACAAGAGTGACTGCCCAAGCATGGGTAGGGTGTGAGCAGCCACTCTGTGGAGGAGAAGCATTTCTGTTCTGTGTGTTTAGGAGAAAGAACAGGGCCCCCACACTCCCATGTGGAGGGTAAGCCTGGGGGAACAACATCACCTCTGCTTCTAATTAGTTAATAAATTGCATTCAGTACATGCTGATGTCTGCAACACAAGCAGCTAATGCAGCAGTATAGAGTGCCTGTCAGGAAATAGGGGATAGTCTGGGTACCACAAGCACTTAAATAACCACACTGATAGGATGTAGCAGAAAATCACTACTAAGCAGCATGATGCATTGCACTCCAGGGAATTCCTGTCTCGGGTCAGAGCAAGCTGTTAAATATCTGCAGATGCAGTACTGTTTTCCTGACTTGCTGATGAGCTGCCACACTGGCTCAGGAAGGCATGGCTACAGCAAGCAGGCAGCAGATGGAGCCTGCTGCTCTGGCCTTTCCTTACACTGGCGTTTCCTGCAAGCTGAAATCACCCGAGCTCAACACCACCTTGGGGCACTCAGTGAAACTCTTGGAACACACCTCCCTTTCAACTGGAGCAACAAACTTTTAAAGAGAGACTATTCTTGTCCACAGGTTATAATTTTTTCCTGGATTTGGTGCCAGTGTGAGGGTATGTGGAAGTGTGCTCCCACATACCTTTTTCACTCATACAAAAGCAACAAAACAACAAAGAACAAATGGGAAATGGGTTCTGAATCACCACCAAAGAAATAACAAACAACTAATGGTAACAGGAAACTGTATTTTGCATGCCATTAGACTTCACTGATATAATCAAGCAAGCTGGCCTTATTCCCTAGGTGCTGGCTTTGGCCTGCAACAGGATGAATAGGTCTCCTGTTAATGAAGTGCATGCAAGGTACTGCTGTGGTAAGCCTGTGCTCCTTGCCAGAGCCCAAGGCAGTGAGCTTAGGATGGTAATTACAGCTTTGGCACAGGTAACGTTTGGAAGAATATGTAATATGCAAACTGCAGTTAAATCACATGGCTCAACAGAGCTGGAGAGGCAGTTCAATGCTAGTCAAAATCATTCCACATATTCACAGTGGTTACCAGATCCTGCTCTCCTTTAGATTGTTGGAAACCTTAAAGTTGACATTGGGATTTATTTTGAATTTACATTTTTGGGACTCGGGTCCTTTGCTTTTGCAAATAAATGTGGGTAACGTGACTTGAGATGAATATATGTAGGAATCACTAATGGATTGTGATCTTTTCCTTTTGGACAGGGCCAGATATAATTCTGCAGCAGAGAAGGCCAGCTATCACCTGCACTTACCAGCCAGATGAACCAAATATCTCTGCTCAAAACATCTCCTTGGGGTGAGCAGGTAGAGACCATTGGGTCAGGTCCAATCCAATGAGGACAATATCCCATAAATATCTCTAAAGAAGACCCAGCTCTCATTCCTGATCCTGGCCAAAAGGAAGGGTCTATTTCTCAGGCACATTAAAACCCTAGGTATTTAATGGGAGCCTTTCTTCCACTGTGAACTCCACATGAACCATTAAGGTAACAGGAGCCAGCATCAAGGGAAATGTGCTGCACTTCGGGTCACTGCAGGGGCTGCGAAAGCAAACACTGAGAAATGCACGCTTCTGTGCAACAGAAAATCTTTATTGGAATGGTATCCAAAGGATCCAGAGCTGACTGCCTGCCCTCCCCTGTGCACACTGTGGGGCACGGCGAGGAGCAGCTCTGGCTCAGCAATCCAGCCCTGAGCCCCCCACATCACACCCAGCCTGCCTTCCTGTCCCAGCAGCGGCCACCAGGGCAGCACAGACCTGCTCAGGAGGTGACAGGAAACACAGACACCTCTGAGAGCATCGTCTGCAGGTGTGGGCAGAGCCCCAAGCCTGGGGAAGCTGAGTTAGTGCTCAGTGCCTCAGGGGACCTGGTGAGAATGGGGAGAGTGTACAGTGGCAGCAGCCTGAATGGCACACACAGGACAGCACAGAAAGTTGGGAAGGATCTTCTGAGTAGAAGATCGTGGTAGGTTAAACCTGGAAGAAAGGAACAGCAGAGAGTGGCAGTGGACTGCCAGCTCCTGTCACAGCCCCTGTTAGACTTGGCTGTGGTGCACTCATGGAGGGTGGCTTCCAGATTAGCAGCACGATGAGGGAACAGAACAAACTCTTAACATGTTAATACCCAGCAAGGCAGTTTGGGGAAGGGCTCATCTTCATCCTCCAGTCCTGACAAGCCTTCAGATGCAGTATTTCCAAAAGCAGGCTGTGAAGGGATACAAAAGAAAGATGTCAGCATACAAGGGACTTATTCCAGCTTCCCACTCTAGCCCTGGAGAAGGTTTCAAATGACCCATGTCTTGAGAGAGCTGGAGCATGCAGACAGAATTCTGCTTTCAGGACATATCTCAATAACCAGCTTTGAGTTTATATAACACTTTTAGAAGGTGTTTCTTTTCGCTGCTCATAGTGTAAACATGGGGTCTAAAAGTTGTCTCCAAGTTGTTTGATTTAAAAGGTTTCCTTATCTTCTACTTCAGCAATATCAGGAACTAGCTTTTTCTTTCCTGCCTACTGGTCAGCAGTTTTACTGTTTCAGAGGTGTGTGCAGGGGTTTGCACCTGTGGCTGACTGGAAGAGCAGGATACTGACTTGGAGAGATTAGATCTGGTTCTTACTTCTTTTAAACCCAGCCACTACCACTCTGGTATCAATCATCTTACAAAATCATGTATTTCTGTAGAATCTTCTAAGAAGACTAAATTAGGGAAGGATGTATATTTTGGTTTTGGAAAAAGTAACTGTTTCACAACCAGCATGAATCCCACGTGAGTTTCCTGTTATCAATTATGAGAAGAGATTTATACCTGGTTTTTGAAAGCAGGACCAGGGATGAAAACTCCTACTGAATCAGCAGTGCTCTCATGCTGAGACACGAGCTCCTCCCAGACTGGAAGGACTTTAGATGAAGACAAAGATTCCCTGCTTTCATATCTGTCAGAATCTGATTTAAACCTGGCAACGGGAAGTAGCTTTATCTACATTAAACCTTCCAGACTGGTAGGGGCATGAATTACATTAGCCAAATTAATGACGGGCTCCAGGGGTGCTTACAAATTGCATATTGCCTAGGGATCACCTAAGCATCTAAGCAAGCCTTGCACAAAGGGATTTTCTTGCACAAAGGGATTTTCTCTTGGCTCTCTGGCAGCTGTCAGCTTCCACGTGCACAGAGCTAAGGGCAGAACCAGCTCTTCTGGTTTTGGGCCAGATCTGTCATCAGTGACTTCTGGTTCGCAGCTGCTACAGCTTTGTGGAGGAATCCATTGAAAGGCAGCATGAGCAGCATCATCCATGTGCTTGTCAGGGGCAGCTTCACAGGAGCACTCCTGCAAAATGTTCCTGAGCCACTGGATACAGACTGGAAAACAAAGCTAGGAGACCAACTGAGGGACATACCAGATCTTAGTTCCCTGCATTCTTGGTTGATTTCCACATCCTTTTTAGCTGTTTTTCAGCAGGAGACAAGTGCTCTTTTTTTCTCTGTGGGGAGCCTCTGACCTTGGCAGAGGGGAATGCCTGCAGTCCACATGCCTCATTATGCTTCCAGCAGTTGCTTTGAGGCCAGAGCAAAGGAGGGGTGCACTGTGGGGACGTGTTCATACAGAACTCCCCCCCTCCAGGGCAGGCACTCATGGCTCATATACCCCACACTCCTCTGAAAAGCAGGATGTGACACTGCCTGCCTCCGTGAGGCCCTGGGTGTGCAGACCTGGTGTATCTCCCTCCACAGCAGACAGGGTTGGGGGACACAGTCCTCCTCAGCAGCTGCTGAACCAGCCAGCCATAAGAGAGGGCCAGGACTGCTTGAAAACCTGCCAACCAGCTGCTTTTCAGCATATTTAGGGCACATTTACTGCGACTGTCTTTGCTGCACAAAGGAAGCCCTGGAAATGAGGGTGGATGGGATGGCTGCGAGGCTCAAACTCCAAACCTACCGCGCTTTTTGGGCTGGGATGCTGAGAGACTTTCCAAGGCATAGGCCACCTCTGACCCATCCTCAGCTGAGAGCTGATCCTTCAACTTCTCCAGCTGTTGAAACAGAAACACAGGAGTAAACAAGGGCCCCATCACGAGGAGCTCCACAGAGTGCTGGGACATGCAGGGCAGAGGAGCGACATGTAGATTGGCTGGCAGCCTCACTGGAAGGATAGAGTGTTCCCTGGGGCAGCACCATTCCCAGAGAATCTGCCTTTGGAGCACTCACACCTCCTCATGCCCTCCTTCATTAAGCTGCTTGTTTGGTGGCAGTGGTGTGGGCACTCCATGCTCTTTCCCTCCACCCTGGGTGTAAGTCCCTGTGGAAGGGAGGCTGTGTAGAAGGATATTGCAGCACTAAGAATCAGGATAGTGCTGGGACAAGAAGTCTCCAGGCATCCAGAAACTGCAGCAGAGGACATTGCTTCTCCACTGCCCTGGGCTGTCCCTCCTCTCTCTCCCTCACAGTTCTTGCTACCTTCCCTTGGTTGTAATGTGGGCAGTCTGCTGCATTTCTTCATCTTTAGCTACTCTCTTCTTGTGGACTGGGAACATCAACAGCCACCATCCTGACTTTTGCTCTGGCAGAGCTGTTCTCAAAAAGTCAGAGCTCATGTCCCTCAGCACTGGAGTGAGAGGCTACTGGAGGACCTGGCAGCCTCCTGTCTGGCATGATGGACTGGGATTTTTCAGTCTGAAATTAAAGTGCCATGCTTAGCAGGACCTCCAGCACCCATGCAAATAGCTGGAACAGCTGGACCTGGCCTGAGAAGGGGAAAAAAGCACTTTCACTGCTTGTGGGGCTTGGGGCACAATGGGAGCCACGCTAAAGTTGCTGCAGACCTTTCCCTGTTCCTGGGCAGTGGGTGTGGGATGGGGACTCTATTTGTATGTGTGTGCTCTGATCAGCTCAGCAGGGCTCTGACCTTGAGTAGGGCCACTCTTACAAGGAGAGTCCAGAAAAAATTCTGGTTTAGGCAGGCAGTGACTTTCCCTCCAACCTGTTACCTGATGCAGCCAGCTCATACAAGGCAACATGATCTCCTTTTCTCCTATGGAGATTTCCTTTGGCAATTAATTCTTTCCTGGCTTGGCCTTCACTGGCCTTTCACTGGTGTCAGAGGCAGGAACTGCTCAACTTTTATTGCACCAGCCTATAGCCCTGTGCTCTTTTTACCTTTTCCAGCTTGTGCAGCTGTTTAGGCAGGTTCTGCTTTCCCCTTTTCTCAATCCATGCTTACATTATAGCAGCAGCGGAAGGGTGGCAGGATGCAAAGTTGGAAGGATAGAGTTTAAAGACAGCTTACACAATTGTTTAACTACCCATGCAAGAACATGCATCTATGTGTCTGTGCATTTGCTTCTCTCACCTCTTCAAGCTCTTCAAATTTCTTTGCCAGCTCCCAGTCTGCAAGAGGGAAAAGAGTATCTGCATTGCTTCTTGAAGCTCAAATTAAAAAACATTTCATTTGCCCCTCCAGAGGTCAACAAGCAAAAATCTAGTTATCAAGCAAAAATCATTTAACTTCAAATGAATGCCAGCAGAAACAGAGAGAGAAAAGCAGGTTTTCTCTGCTGAATCCTATGGGACCTTATCCTAATTCTCCATTATGAGGGAGGCTTCTTTACTGTTCACCAGGCCATAGGGGAATTGGCCCAATAAAGTCACTTACTTTGTGATACCAATTCAGGTGAAACTCTGCTGCTTTTTAATTTTTATCCTGCTAACTGCAAATCTCTAATGCTGGCTTTTTTTGTCACTGGCTTTTACATGAAATCCCACTGCTTCCTTTAAGACTTGTTTATCCTCGCATCACCCATGCAGGCAGAAGTCAGAAGACACAAATTTAACCTAGCATAATTTACTGATTTATAAGTCAGCAAAGACCCAGGCTGGCAGAGTGGAGCAACAGGAAATGTCACATAGCAGTAAGTGCACAGATTCCACACTTCTAAAGCTTAGGGAAGCATGAGGGCATCTGGGGCCCAGCCCCACAGATCAGACTTAGAGCTCTCAAGGCTAGCCAGTATTGTACTGCTGGCAAAAAACTATGCAGGTGGATGAATGAACTGTCCATGCAGAAAGAGGGGGGAGAGTTAGGTGCCTAAGAACAGGATTTAAAACATCCACCTGAACTGAGAAGAGCATGGAATAGCAATAGGGAAAGCTGCAGGGGTGGCGAATTTCAGTCTCACTTCTCTTGAGGACTGAGGTACCTTATTCCAGACCCAAAGTGATGTCAAAACCAGTTATTTTTTAGTAAGACAGATGAGTTCAGTCAAAGCTGAGTGACTGGCTACAGTAGTTCTTCTGGGAGGGGACTGCAAAGTGATCAGCTGGTTTTAAGTGCTAGTTTGGGAAAAAAATGCAGTAAAATAAGCAGAAGAGCCAGGAAAGAGCTAAAGAATGTTTTTGCTGGGCCCACAAGCAAACCAAAAAACAGCCCTGAGCTGCCTCTTTTCTCTGTTCCTAGTGTGGCAGCAGGCATTGGTCTGGATCATCAGGGGGATTTAAGACATAATTCCCCTTGATTTCAGATTTCAGATAAGACTCCAGCACACAGACACATTGCCAGACTTGGGCTATTTTTTTTTTTTTTTTGGAACGTTTGAAACTGAGCAGGAGAGTGCCAAGAAAGAGCTGACTGCCTTCTTGGTTCCTTCTTCAAGAAAGGAACAGTTTTGTTAAAAAATCCTGAATATTTTCTGATATTCATTCAACAGTAAAAGCAGCAGTTCCTAAGCAAATCCATTACATCAGGATTCAATTTGAGAGATGAGATGGGGATGGGGATGGGGATGGAATCAGAAGGTGTGGGCTCTGTTCCTGGCAGTATCAGCAATGACCTCAGGCAGACTCCTCCTAAGTATATCTTTATATACCCATAAGGTAGACAGACAGACCCAGGCATATCTATAAGTCAAAAGTGTCACTTAAGAATTGTTATTATTAACATTTTTGCCTCTTTCAGAGTTTCAAGTGCCTGTTTTGGCTTGATTTTTCGCAAACTGTAAGTTTGACCAATGACTGCTATGAATACAAAATAAGCAGCAGTTGAAATTTGGAACAGATTATCTCAGACAGGGAGAAGGAAGTTAATTTATGGATGAAGCTTTGAGAAACTGCCTGCTGTAAATCCTCTGTCTGTGCTCTGCTTGGAGATTCATTATATTCAATTGTCTGGCATAAAATGCAGCCTTTCCTCTAGGACTAATAAGTGCAATAATCCATAAACTTATCATAAAAATGTTATTTCTTGAATGCATCCCCTTTGCAATAAGAATGCCTTTGTTAGTACAAGGCTTGATTTATTTATGTTTATTTACTTGTCCCAAGCTTGTTTAACCACTGCCTTGCTGCATTAACAAGGGTCTGGGGAAGAGCACTGAGTGAGTTTGATAAATGGATTTTCATAACAATGTTTTTGCAGAGCCCCCTCTCAGCTGTTTTCACAGGGAAGGGCAGCTCCCTGCTCTGAGACCACCACATCCAGCCCAAAGCCTCCCCTGGCTGCAGTGGCCGTGGGAATAGCTGACCTCTGTAATTCATTTGGTGCCTGTGATCGCTGTGCCTCATGTCAGGGAAAGCACAAGTTTCTCTTCAGCAGGTCTGAGTTTAGCCACAGATGGGTGGCTTTTAAATTTGGTGTCTGTTCACAGAGCTCAGACAGGAAGAGCCTCTCCCTGGCCCATCTTTGGTGGCTGCGTGGGAAAAGCCAGTTGTCTCAACCTCCTCCAGCAGGAGCAGGGGCTTAGGCCAAGGAGCTCCCCCTGCCCTTGTCCCAAACTACACCTAACCCCCGTAAATCTCACTGGAAAATCTTGGTGAAATCCCCCTGCCCAAATGATAACAAGGTGCTGCTGCCTCTCAAAGGCACACGGGGCCGTGTGGGGTGTGGGCAGAGAGGTGGCTCCCAAAGCTGGTCCATGCTCCAGGCAATGCACACAACATCTAAGGGACAGTAGGGCCACAGGGACTCAACAGAAAATTTTCTTGTTTTTACTTATGTACACACACATGTTCCCAGCAAAGTCTTGAGTGTCTGAGGATCTAGGGCGCATGGGTTTTGGCAGCTTTACTTTGCATTGCAAAAGCAGGTCCTGGAGCCCCATGACAGAGAGCATCTGACATTAATCACATGTAGGCATCATACTGGGTGCTGCTTCCACTTTCTGAGCAGTTGGTATTTCTGAAGAACCAGAGTGGCAGGTTCCTTGCATTCATGCAAACACAGATTCAAGAAGCAGAGATCTCCCCTCCCCTTCACTTACCAATACTTTCTGGCCTCCGCCACGCAAATTTCTTATTAAGAAGCAGAGTCAGCAATGTGTTCTCATGATTTGTGTCTTCTCTCTCTGGAAGCACTCGGTTCTCTGCAGCACATAAAACACATCTTTCTCAATCTCATCAAATTAAGAATCAATTAATCAATTGATGCAGTTAATCACTTAATCAAATTAAGAAGGATGAGAAGTGGAAAGAAAATGTCTCCTGTCAGCACTCATCAGGGTGGAAGGAGCTCGGTGGAAAAGGAAGGTGTGTGAGCACAGGATAAAATGTCCAGGCAGCGAGGGCTGCGCAGTGGAAGGGTGTGGGATGGGAAGCCCTCCCTGCCAGCCCTGGGCTGCTGGCCAGCTGCACTGCAGCCTCATCAGCAGGACTGGCTGCAGAGCTGGAGCCAGCACCTTGATTTACACAGGCCCGAGCTCTTCTGCGAGGCGGGTGGAGTGGGCACCTCTGCAAAGCCAGGCAGGCGCCCACAACATCCTCTCTTCTCAAAACTGCAGGAGCTCCCCCGCTCACTCCACGCACCTTCCCAGGGCTGGCAGAGGTGGGAAGTCCCTCCTCACTGGGCTGAGGTGTGGGTACCACCACGGAAAAGCCCTGCAGCCCCACAGCCCCTTCTTGAACTCGCTCGACCTTGGGGCTGCTCTGATTGCCAGTGGTACTGAAGGATTCTTCCTGAACAGAGTTCAAGTGTGGAGGAACTTAAAGCAAGATCACGCAGATTTTTTCCAGGAAAAACCTCCCCAAGCTGCTGTCCTAAAGCAATTTGAGGCTCTCTAAGAGGCCCCTTTAGGGCACTTTCTCAGTGGTTTTACTTTAGTGGTTGTGGCTATGCCCTCAAATTAATGGTTGTGAAGGTCAAGGGTTCAGCAGAAACCAACAGACCCAGGGGATGGGACTGCTCAGTTCTCTGGAGGCTCTGAGACTCTCCCAACTCTGATCAACAGATTTCCAGAGTCATCTGAGACTAGAATGTTGTCCTAATTTTTGAGAATGACAGAATAGGAGCCAGACTTTATAGGGACACTGAGCATTCAAAAAAATCTTTGGTCTGAACAGCCCTACCCCACACCCAGACCCTACAAAGCCCTAGAAGATGCCTACAGAATTCCATGGAAAATATTAAGAAATTATATAGAAAGGCTTTTTTTTTTTCTCTTCTTCCAGGATCTTTAGGACTTCTCAGTGCAGTTTCATATGGTTATCAGCCCCTCTGAGGGGATGAATGCAATTATTCTTGGTACCCATGAAACAAAACATTGTACTAGACAAAACTGAAGGATGCTCAAGAGCATGTGGGAATCAGCTCCATTAGGTAACATTACATAAATCTGCAGAAGCTGAGGGATGCTGGCCAAAGGGATGCTCCAAGTATTTGGCCAGACTCAACCCTGCCTCACACTGCGGCTGAAGCCGCTGGTCCCGATTGTGATCTCTGGAAATAAACCCAGAGGAGCCAGCAGACCAACCTGCAGTTAGTGTGGAGTGCCATAAACCTCACTCCTAAGTATGAAGGACAGTTATAATTTTAAAATAGCTAGTTAAGTTTTTTGGAGGATTTGCTACAGGGAAAAAAATCCCAACCCTATAAACACTCCAGTAAAAGCTAAACAGAAGCAGGATTTAGATAGAGTGGCCTGGGGAATGTTTTGGTTGTAATTACAAAAATAAATAGGTGATATTAGAGGAAAAATCATTTGAAAAGCAATGTTATTTTCAAGCCTATACTTAGCGGCTCTTTCTTTTTTTCCACTGCCAAGCCTCTTTAAAAAAGAGCACTAATGATTGACATTTCCCTGCAATATAAACTCAAGTTAAAATTAATTTAAATTATGGGAGAAGTACATATAAAAAGAAGTTCAGTGAAGAAAAAAAAGTTCAGCATCACCATACTACTGACATTTATGAGCTGTCAAATCTTTTATGGTAAATACTGGAATTGCTACTCTCTGATACTCTAATTTTTTTTTTTTTTTCATTTTCTTATGGGAGAGAAAGAGCTACCCTTACCAGATTTCACCATATCTGATATTTTCACTGATTAGCAGAAGATGTCATACAGCCAGTTGCAGAGCAGAACAACAGCTTTGGCTCATGATAGTATGAACAAGCCTCTCGCTAGCACCCATGTTAACAGACAGTATAGCTCGAGGTTCATTTTGTTTTCTTTCCCAGAGAAGAGAGTGTTGCATTGGCCATGGCAAGCAGCAAAGCAAAAAAGATAACCACCTACCTGTGTCATGTAGCCTGTATTCCAGCTTACCTTGGAGTAAAAAAGGGTCTCCATGTGTTGACGGGACACACAGAGCCATGGTCAGGATGGTCAGCACTCCTAGACACAGCTGGGCAGACCACATCTTCTCCACGTTCCCAGAGCCCAAAAGCATCCTTCCTTCAGGCACCGTGGAGGACTTCAATGCAACCAGCGCCAGATGAGCTCACTTTTAAGAGGCAGTGGATGTGCCGTGATTGCAAATGGCCTTTGGAGGAGGGGAGAAAAATATCTCTTGAGATATAATTCAACCTGTCAATATGATTCACTCCGCTGGGAGTGGACAGAACAGCCCAGTAACATATGTCAGATGGAACCTGTTCAATATAGCTCATATCAGACTGATCTAATGAATTCTGATGTTCCCACAGGCGTGCGCTGTTCACGCACGTTGATATACATTCCATACGTACACACATTAAAAATACTTTTTCAGGGCTGTTGCTTTAACAGAGTTCAGGCATGAGGACTCCCACGTTAGCAAGGAAGATTTGTACAAGCTGCCATATTTTACCAATTTGGACAGAATCAGGTTAATGGGGTTTTGTAATTTATCATCTCACTTCCTAGAGCCTATATTAATTAATGTGAGATATAATGAGTGCTGAAGTGGTGGGAAACAGAGGGGGAGAGCTCTTTTCATTTAACTGATTAGAGAATGTTGAGTGTGTCTTGCTCACTGTGACTTATGGCTTTGTCAACGGGAAAGGCATCACACCCTATTTTGGGATCATGTCTGAGTGGGGGAGTGCAGATTTGGCAGTACGTATGGAATACGTCAAGGATGGGCAAGAGTCTTCAGTTTTTTTCTTGGGGAAAAAAAAGAAGTGGAAGGTCAGATGCTGGTTCTGGCTACACAGCCTTGTTTTACAATTTTAGAGCAAAGTACTAATACACACTGCATATATTCCATGCCTTCTCAGGCCATGACTACATTTTGGTTCGACTTCCATTTCTTGCCTATCCATCACTGTTGATCAGGGACCTGTTACTACTTTTCCACAACAACCTTACCAAGAAAAATATTGTAGTAGTAACAGTGCTAGGCTTTGTTCTTCACTTCTCTTCCTGCAGAACTGAATCATCTGTACTTGTCGTGGTTTAAGCCCAGCCAGGAGCTAAGCACCACAGAGCTGCCAGCTCACTCCCCCCGTGGTGGGATGGGCGAGAGGATCAGGGCAAGCTCTGATTTGTACATACACTCCTAGTGACTCACTGTGTGTGCTGTTTTGACACCACATCATGCCAGATTACCCAAGATAGCTTCATCTGATGGTACCTGCTCTTCATCTCAACTAAAAGACAGTATCTTTTCCATGTTTGGGCTTTTGGCTTTAAGTCCCCAGCTCCCCCTACAACTCGTTCTGTGCCTTGGATAGGTATTGAATGACAAGCATTTTAATAACTCTTGTAATATTTTATTATTTGATATAGTACTAAAAATGGAGGGGGAGAGGCTCAGATTTTTTTTTTTTTGTGGGATATGCCTATAAAAAGAAATGTGATGCTTTCATTAATGAAGAGTTCTCTACTGAGAAAACATTCCAAAATTTTCCCTGGAGATACAATATGTACAAATTAACCAAACTGATAGTTTCCCTCAGACTTGTGAACTAGTGAGCAGCTATCTGAAGTGCTCACCTTCTTCACAAAGTTCTGTTTGGACTGAGGGACATATATGTCCTACTGGAACACTTTTCCAGACACCTCCATCTCCCTAAGGTGCCAGTTGCAAACTGGTCAGAGGTGAGCAGCTCTCATGAAGCAGAGGCCATAACTCGATGAGCACCACCTTTGCACAGGAGCCCAGTCTCCTGGAAAATAACAGTTCTGACTCAAAACTATACCCCTAAGGGAAGGTCAAGTCTGTTTTAATTTAGTGCTGAAGGGCTAAATCTCAATCTGTCTTGAGATCTGCTGTGAAATAAACTTTGCCTGGATACAGAAAGTGAGTTTCTCCATCTCATCTAAGTTTAGGCAAAATCCAAAGATCTCTGACTGCTTTTCCCTACCTTTCGATACAAGATCTCATGGGCTATTGGCAGGCTCTTTCGGGAAGTTGAGCTATTCCTGGGATTTCCTCTTTCACTGCAGAGAATCTTCAGTTCTGGATCACTGCAACTGTTCAGCCCCCTAAGCAATTCATGTAGAGAGTGTGCCAGACCTTTCAAGTGATGGCTCTGGTGAAGGTGCAGAACTGCCATGCTACATTTACGTATGAGAAGGAAAATCCACTGTGAGGATTGGATGCTTTCAGGGGATGGGTTGCTGGAAAGAAACCTCACAGTTGCTTCCACAAACTAGTGGAATTTTTTTTTTATTTTTTGAAGTTAGAGGATAATTGATTTGTACTATTGGGCTTCTCTAAGGTTCCCACCTGGAAAATTCCTTTGCTTTTACCCCATTAGTCCAGGTGCTGGAAATAATATTACATTTTATTGTTCTTATGTATTTTATTCTCCATAGGAAAACAGCTCAGTCTCCACAGTCTTTCATTCACTGATAATGCCTGGTAACTGATAATGTCATTGATAATCATCCATTTGTGTCTGGAGTTCCAGGATAACAAGAACATGATGTGAGCTCCATCTCTACTTCCCATGATCCCAGTCTGTCCCTTCATGCAGAAGTTTCTCTTTCCACAAAGCTACTCAGACTTCAGGAAACCCAACATAACCAAACTAGAAATTTGACAAGGGTCAACAGCCCAGAGAGCAGGAATAGAGAAGACTTGGTTCAAGCAGTGCCACCAAATCCAGCTGCACCCGCCCTCAGTGTGAGAGAGATGAACAGGAGTGTCAGTGCCTGCAGGGTGTTAATGGTCCTGAGTGTCCTCAGGTGGGGCCTCGCCACCCTCTCTGCCCATCAGCTCATGAGACCCATTTAATCTCAGCCTGGTCGCCTGCTTCCAGGCCAGGGTTTGCCAGGAAACCATTTAGCTTCTCAGAGAACAAAGCAGCTCCAAAGTGTTGCCTTGGAGTGAGGGGCTGAAAGAGTAAATCAGGAATCTAAAAGTGTTGGATGTGGAATGAGGCAGCCTAGGGAGAAAACACAGAGCAGGGGCAGTCATGCCCCAATTCTCACTTCTGCCTGTAAATCCTGAGCTGAAGCACCTCCTCCAGATTCAGCCTCCCTACTGACTAGGGTGACTTGGCTGAGGTTCCTGGTGAGGAGAGGAAGGCAACATGGAAACCTCTTCTGCTTTGAAATGTGCCGTGATTTTCTGGTCTCAGAGACACTTCCAGTGATGCTTCTGAATGGGAAATATTGTGCCTGTGTAGGACTAGTCTGACCTCCATGCCAGGACAGTGTCCTGAAGAGGCATGATCTGGTATGACCTGGTTAAACCACCAGATTTACCCTGAGCTTGACTCCTCTCTCTTCTGACTTGCCTTCTCCAAGCCCCAGGTTCATCCTGGATGATGAATGTAGCTTGTGCATGTATTACTTTTAGTAAAGACAAGACTGGGTAATTTCCTGCTAAAAATACCGGTAAGAGCACTTTTAAGATTGTGGAGGTCAAATCTATCTGCTAACGGTGCCAACTTTCACTGTCATTCTCCTTTCCCTCTCTTCCCGCTCAGTTACCATCTGGTGTTTTGGTTTATTGATAAATGTTGCCCATTTTTTTGGAAAACTGTCACTACAAGTCACCCAGGGGATGACTTGGAGCATACACAGAGCTGTAGTGTTTTGGTGAAACTTGTGCAGATAACCATAAACTTTGCCTTTTGGAGAGCCTGTCTTCTAACTTAGCTTTTCATTTGCACCCTGATCTAGAGAGACTCTGAGAGTTCTGCACATGCAAAAGGGTTTTTTGTTGAATGAACACCAATACTTTATGGCTGTAGACTTGCACATATAAAGTGACTTGAAATGAGGGTTCCAGCTGAGGCTATAGGACATATTCATACCTTACCACCCTGCAGCTTGGGAAGCAAAGCTGGCACAAGTGATAACACTGGAATTTCTTATTTTTATTATTATTTTTTTTTAATCCAGAAGAGGAGGGGCAGGTGCAATCATATTAGATGATTTTTTTTTTTAGGTAGACCTAGAAATTTTTCTGAGCGGAATATAGCAAAGTCACTACTAGGCAAGAACTGCACTGACTTCAGCCCTCATCAAACTCCCTCTTGCAACATCAGTGTGTTGAGGTTTCATCCAGGTAGTAGTGGCTGTGAATATCTGAGAATGACCAAGGTGCTTCATCACTAGCTGCCACATTTGTTATGCTTCTTATGCCTTGATTGCATGGGCTTGCAGGCAGCTCCCTGCAGTGCACTAAGTGAATAATATATTATTCTAGTGGGTTCTGTTTTTCTGACATAACAGTAAGGAATGACACATTTAGCTACTTTCTTCTTCTCTCATCTACTATGTAACACCTTTAATAATACTTTCCTCTAAGTGAAATTTTTGGAAGGCATATCTCACTTCAGATTGCACGTTTACTCTCCAACTTGACAGCCGAAAAAGCCCCTTGATCTGTTGTGGCATGGCTCATGATTTTCCTAGTGCTCCTTGTTATGTTACATGTAAGCACAAGTTATGTTTCCTCTGCTCATTCTTTGCAATCACCCCATTCATTACCCCTGGTGAGCTTTATAATACCTTAATCCTTGCAGGTTTCTGCTCTCCTTGTTCTTCAGGGAGCCTGAATTCCCAAAGGCACCATTCAGCTACCCAAGGAAATTGCACACCTGCTTCTTGGCGCTCTTTGCCAATGCTGTAATGTTACCTTCCTCTCATCCACCCCTTCTGGCACAGGACTTCAAACCTCTCTTGAAGTGTCTTAGCTTAGAAATGCAGGGAGGCTGATGTATGAAGTGTTATTTTTTCCCCTGTCTGTTTTTTACCCTGCATCACTACATCACCTGTCTCCCTCCCTGGGAGGCCCTGCAGCATCCTTGCTCTGGGCTGGGCACAGGTTCTGTTTGAGCCCCCAAACCTTGAATTTATTTATCAAAGTGGGGAAACAATGCACTCACATCCTTCAGTCTTCCTGAAGATTGAATGGAATCGTGCACTGGGTTTTATAGTTTTATACAGGAATTTGACTTTGGAGAGAAAAACCAGAGCCCATGTCCCCAGAAGGAAGTTCCCTGGCATCAGTCATCTCTGACATACTAGTTTTGGATATGGGCTTGTGCAGTGCCTGATAGCATGAGAGACCTAGTTCCATTTTTTCCCATCCCTCTGCATTAACCATTAATTGATGCACAAGTTCCTGCCTGTAGGATTATTATCCTCTGTGTCTATTCAGACAGCAGCCCCATCAGCTGGAAGTGAGCTCTGCCATCATTAAGGAGTCTTTAACAAAGGCTGTTCTGTTGAAAGTGAACA